ATAGGAATAGAAGTTACTGCCTCTGCAGTAATAATAGAAAATGCAAAGTGAAATGAGAAGAGGGTCCATGACCCAGCACTGATGTGTGAATATTTTAAAAACTCAGTCTCTCTAATCCATTTTCCACATGACAGCCTGAGTGATCTCAAAATATGTTGAATAATGCTACAATGCGTTATAAGTAGTTTGAGAACTCCTTATAACAGCTTCTAATGTTTGTGATAAAATCCAACCTACCTTCTTATGGTTCCTGAAAGTTCCCTCCTGCCTTCGATTCATTGTACATGCTTTTCTCTCTCCTCCCTATTGCTAATGAACTTAAAATATTAAGTCTTTAGGTGTCAATGAAAATGTTTCTTGCTCAGGGACTCCTGGACTAGATTAGGACCCCTGTTGTTTTCTAATAGTGCCTTTTATTTCTCCTTTTATGGCATGGATCATAATTATTTTTAACTATTTTCTTGTCTCTCATCTGAGAGAATGTAAATATCACCAGGGCAAGAACTGTGTACCCTGTCAAAGCAAGAGTCAAGCATAGTGCCTCAGCACTGAGTGTCAGTAAACACTCAGATATTAATGAGTGAGTAGATTTAATGTCCTGAGTTGCTACCTGAATTCAGTGGCAGAATATTTGAAATAAAACTTAAAGCTGTCATCCACAGTATTTAATTTTTAAAATGGTATTAACCAGACTGAAAGAAGTAATGAAACTGTAGGAAACAACATGGGAGGAACTAATTTTTGTATCAGTTGTTCAGTAGACTTTTTCCAGGTAACTCAGTCAAAAGTCCCAAGTAATCTTAGCAGTCAAACTGTTATAGGCACATTGCAGGTTTCTAACTTCTGAAAAATATTAAGTTTGAAGAATAGCTGGTTTTTGGTATGAGCATGTTGGATCTGAAAGTTGTGGGCGTTCAAAGTGTTAAACTGATGAAGCATGTATCCTTGAAATATCCTAGATACGTTAAAAGTCCTGAAATTCTGTATGACTTAGAACGGTAGTCCCTATTTCAAGCCACATATTTTAGACACAAATATGTCTTGACCCTTGACCATGACAGTGCCAACTCAAATGCTTGGCAGGCCTTAGCACCCCTGTATTGACTATTAACAGGGTTTGCATGCTTTCCCATTTTCATCCAAAGTGACAACTGTTATTTCTTATTTTCAGCATGTTTGACATGTGTATAAGAGGGAAAGTGAAGTGAAGGGGGAATAAGTTTCAAATTGTCCTTAGATTTCATGATGCAGTGTAGTCACAGACCAGACATAAACTCCTTTATCTACTGTTGAGGTCTAATTCTTGAAGAACTGCTTCTAAAGCAGTAACCTATTTCAAATTGCACATTTATCTTCTTGATATATAAAAAATGTTGTGACAGACAGTGGTTTGTGTGGCAGAGTTATTGCAGGTGTTTACTGAATACCTGTATAAGCTATTGCTAGGTAACAACTTACCCCAAAGCTTAGCAGAATAAAACAACAAATGTTTATTATTTCATAATTTCTGTGCATCAGGAATCTAGGAGTAGCTTAGTAGGGTGCATGTGTTTGAGACTTTTACAAAGTTGTAGTTGAGTGTCAATCTGGGGCTGCTGTCTCATCTGCAGGCTTGACTGGGAGGAAAACGCATTTCTAAGCTCACTTACCACAGTGATTGATTTCCTTGTTGCATGAGCCACTCTGTAGTGTAACTCACAACATGTCGGCCATTCAGCCTCTTAACCTGATTTATGTAACCAAGCATTCATCTCATCTCTGGAAGCTTTGGGCATATTTTCTTTGTCCTCACTACACTAGACTTTCATCCTTGATGTGGATGAGGATCAAGTGAAATATTGTCAAATGTGTGAAAAGGAATGGCTAGAGAAACAGTGCTCAAGCATGGAGAGTGAGCTGGAGAAGAGTTGGAAACAGAAAGAGAATGTTACATGAAACTGGGAGCAGGAACTTCAGGGAAGTTAAAGGTGATGATCCTGTTTTCCCTCATATCTTCCCCAAGTTGGAAACATCAAAATGCCTTCCCTAGGAGTTAACACTCTTCAGCAAAATCTCCCTATTGCCACCTACTAAATGTGCTACTAAAGTCAGGGCACATTAAGCACCAGTTTACTCATATCCAGTAGTCCCACAAAACAATGTTGTTCTTGAACTATGTGCCTTAAAGCGTATGTATGAAAGTACTTTGTTAATTTTTAAACAGTATGGAAATTAAGTTGTTGGAATGCTGCTGTTTGGAAAAACCAAACTTTCTAATTGTGTGGAAAACACAGGTTGAATAATATAAAAATGCAAATTAACACTGTATAAATCTGTTGTAAGAGAATCACTTGCCTAGTATTGACAATACCGTATCAGTGTTTTCAGCTTCTTTGAGATATTTGCATTAATTCAGTAATAGCTTTTATTAAGTTTATGGTAATTTTGCATTCCCTTTCTCATAAACAAGTACATCGTGTAATTTGCTGTCTGTGTTCCACCTTGCTCTTGAATTAGAAGGGTTTTTTTTTTCTTTCTTCCTTTGCCTTCCCTTTTTCCTTACAGTCATGTGCACTCAGGACTTATATTTTGGGCAAAGGAAGATATTTTTAAAAACTAAACTCTGATTTCTGATTCTCTGTGGATGATTTCCATATTGGTGGTGACAAATCAGTGTGCTGCTTGCAAACAACTGCCAAATAAATCTTTGGAAATAATAGTGCAGTATATTTTGCTACCCAGCAAAGTTCAGGACCTTTAAGAGTCTCTGTGCTTAGGAGTACCCCACCTACTTATACAGTTGCCCTGGCATTTAGAACAGTCTTACTTCTGTCATTGTTATGCTACAGATGGAAGTGGTAAAAGTAAAGAACTGCTTTCTTCCCCTCTATAGCTTATGAAATTATTATAGATCTGTATTTGGAATAGACATTGATTTCTTTTGTTTCTATTTAAAATATGTTAAATAGATATATTTCATCCTAGTAGCCTTATTTAAACCTGCAGTGATTTAAATGGTTTCTATTTTAAATGAATTATTTTAGAACTATGTACCAATGAGTTATTTTGCCATCTATTCTTTATTCTTCACAGTTTTACCTTGTCTTTTTAGAATATTACATTTCTAATGTCCATAACAGGTTAGGAAATTCCAAAACAGAAAATAAAAATGAAAAAAACCTTTAAAGAGAACCAAGAAAGAATATTTTACTCTATCCAGAAGCAGAGAATAACTTACTCATGAGAGTTGCCAAGATGGAAACAAGCCTAGGGAAATAATTTGTTAAAGAACTTAAAGAAGCCCCAAGGAAGGTGGGGGTCAGGGTAAAGATGGAGTCAAGGTTGAAGGGAGATGGGTTAGAGAAGGAAAGTTGCCTAAATACAATTAAGCCTCAGGTATTTGTGGAACTCTTAATATTGTGGTGAGTTACAAAATCTATAAAACTCAGTCTCGCTTGTCAGGAATTGAGAATCTAATTGGAAGGAGAAAAATTATGCATATGAAACAACACTTAAGTAGTGTTAATGCTGTACTAAGTACAGAAGGGAAGCAGGGAATAAGTAGAAGGAAAGTAGTGAATAAAGAGTGGAATGATTTTTGAGGAATTATTAAGATTTAGATTAATAACAAAAAATTTCTAAATGATAGCAAAAACATCAAAATGGGTTTAGAAGCCAAAATAAACAATTTTATTTACATACAATTTTACAAAATTGTAGACAGAAACATATACATGAGCTAGAAAAAAATTAAGGCCAGCAAAAATTACCATTAAAATATTAAGTGAATATAATGAATAACAAATTTATTTTGGATATAAACTTTTATTTAAATTATTTTATAAATAATAAAAATTATAGCAAAGAGAATAAATGTTTTTACAAAAGATAAGGAAAAGACATATACCCCAGTAGAAAAATGGGCAAAGTAAATTTTATCTTTATCTTTAGCAGATATTCTGTAATTTTATCTTTAGTAGTAAAATTACAGAATAGAAATATAAATGGCCAATAAACACATCTCAAAATAATCAGCCTCAGTAAAAATTAAAGAAATGTAAAAAAAAGAAATGCAAGTTTTACTTTATGAGATTGGCAATGGTTTAAAAACTGATAATACTCAAATGTTGGGCAACAGGCACTTCCACACTGTTGGTGGGAATTTAAATTCTTATGGCAGTGTGGCAATGCCAAGAGCCTTAAAAAAGGGAACATACTCTCTAGTGTAACGGTTCTATTTCTAGGAGATATCCTAAAGAAATCATTAGAAAAGAAGATCTTTACAAAATAGAACCTTTATAAAACAGAAACATTGGAAATACCCCTAAAAGACGGTATGTCTATATTATTAAATAACATAGGACTGAGAAAAAGTAAATGATGGGGCATCTTGTATCACACGATCCTATTACTCTTGAGAATGGATACTTGGGAAATGGGTATGTTTGTATCTGCACACACATATGGGAATTCAGGAAGGTTATATGTACCACATCGTTAATTGTTCTTAACTCTGGATGGCTGGACAATGAATGGCTTTTTTTTTCCTTTTTGCTTATCAATTCGATAAACATGTATTTTTTAATACATTTTAAAGAAAAACAACTTGAGAATTAGAATAATATGTAGGTGCTCACATTGTTGGTTAAGAATGCATTTTTTCTATCTTTTTAAATGTTAAGAAAGTGGTAATGATCTTGACTAGGTTCCAGTACCTACAGAAATTTGGCATGGGAAGTTTCCCACCCCTCCCACCCTTCCCACCCTGGTCCCACTTGCCTAGAAAGACTAAGTGAACCTAGGTGTTGATAGACATCTTTTCTTTAAACTCTTAAATAATTGCACATATGTATAGTTGATAACTGCAGGATATTAATGGTCTTACAAGAGTTACAGGCTAACAGTTTGTAGTTAAAATCTTTGACTTAGAATTTCAGGAGCTTCTGACAGAATCTGCATGTTTTAGGTCTACATTTTTTTATCTTTATATTCATTTTATCTTTTCTTTTGCTCCTCTTTAGGTTATATCATAATGAATGGATCCAGTGTGGCAAATACATCACCCAGTGTAAAATCCAAAGAGGACCAGGGGTTAAGTGGTCATGATGAAAAGGAAAACCCATTTGCAGAGTACATGTGGATGGAGAATGAAGAGGATTTCAACAGGCAGGTAAAGAAAGAAGTGGAAAAGTGGAAAATTGATGTTATATGTAACTCAAGGGCTATAATATTTTATTGCCAGTTTGTTACAAAATACCTGGATACAATTAGCTTTAGGATAATTTAAAAATTCATGGGGAGGGGGCTCATGTGGAATGACTAAGAAACATCTTCATCTGGTAAGAGACCAGAGTGACAGTTCCTTGGAGGAAGATATTTATATTTTTCTTACCATGTTGATTAAAAGAGAACACAAGTATCAGACTAATTAGTTGATATCTGAAAATCCGCACGTGATGAGCCCATGTATAACCAAATAGATGTGCATATACTCCACACTATGATATGCCTTCTAAGTGCAGTTCACATTACACAGCAGCTACTGCAGAGTGGCCTGCCCTCAGCCTCATTCTGGCTAGATTTGTTTATGTCATTTCTCTCAGCAACCATAGACCATTCTAGAATATTCCCAGAATTTAAATCAAACAGGACTCTTCTCAATCTTAGAGGATTGACATAAAACCCTTGTACCAAACCAAGGTAGCTTTATTATAGCTTTAATCCTAGGAAGCACTCTGGATCTATAATTCTCTGTAATGATCAATGTGAAACTAATTGCTTGAACAGTGGAGCACTAAAAAACAGAATGGTAGTGAGGTTGTTTTTCTGTACTTTGTAGTTTGTTGCTTTCACTTGCTTATAGGAAATGTGATACTCTGCATTTCATTTTGAAAATAAAGGAGGACATGAAAGAAGTTTAAGGCCAGGCATGGTGGCTCATGCCTGTAATTCCAGCACTTTGAGAGGCCAAGGTGGGCAGATCACTTCAAGTCAGGAGTTTGAGACCTGCCTGGCCAACATGGTAAAACCTCATCTCTACTAAAAATCCAAAAATTAGCTGGGCATGATAGTGTTCTTCCTATAATCCCAGCTACTTGGGAGGCTGAGGCATGGGAATCGCTTAAACTGGTAGGCGGAGGTTGCACTTAGCCAATCGTACCACTACATTGGGCTCTGTCTCAGAAAAAAAGAAAAGGAAGATTCAGAACTCTCACTGAAGGTAAATGTGTTTTCCATAGGATTTTAGAACGTCATATTTGTTTTTTTGGTTGACCTAACAGTTTCACTCTGCCTTTATCCAGCCTCTGAATGAAATATGTTGTTGAAAACATAAAACAATTTTCACTAGCTTTCTTAACACTCACTGACATGGTTTTAACTCCAGTGATCAGGATTGCACCAGGACTATCAGAAGCCAGATGTCTGAACTGTGGGTCAGCTGTGCACTCCTACATGGATGAGTTTAGCAAACTCAGAGGCAGGGTGCATGGAAAAGTGCTGGAAAGCCAGGGGCTTGCAGATACACACATACACTTACACACGTGCACACACACATGCACACACCCCCCACAAAGAGATTGAGGAAAGACAATTCAGGAGCTTTAAAAATGATAACTTCAGCTTTGCATAGTGGCAGCATCATAGCCAATGAGGTTTATCTAAGGCACGATTATTGCTAATTGAAAACTTTTCCCAGTACCGCCATGATGACTTGAAATATAGTCAGCATTGGCAATTTTTGACAGTCTCTATGAAGACTGAATTTTTTTTTTAAATTGTGACTTTTTTCTGGAGATGTAGGAAAGCTGTGACAGCAATATCCATGGCAACTTCCAGTGTTGTAGTAAATACCAGGCCCTAAGAAGGGCTAAGCAGATAAACAGTTGTTTGCTCTAATTCCCCCAACCCTAATGTTTTACAGGTAATACTTAGCTTGGCAGCATAATTCTGGTTGTTTTGTTTTGTGTTTTGTTTGTTTTTGGAGATGGAGTCTCACTCTGTTGCCCAGGCTGGAGTGCAATGGCTCAGTCTCAGCTCACTGCAACCTCTGCAGCCTGGACTCAAACCATTGTTATGCCTTGGCCTCCTGAGTAGCTGGGACTACAGGCATGTGCCACCCAGACCCAGCAGATTTTTGCATTTTTAGTAGAAATGAGGTTTCGCCATGTTGGCCAGGCTGGTCTTTTTCTTTTCTTTTTTTTTTTTTTTTTTTGAGACGGAGTTTCGCTCTTGTTACCCAGGCTGGAGTGCAATGGCGCGATCTCGGCTCACCGCAACCTCTGCCTCCTGGGTTCAGGCAATTCTCCTGCCTCAGCTTCCTGAGTAGCTGGGATTACAGGCACATGCCCCCATACCCAGCTAATTTTTTGTATTTTCAGTAGAGATGGGGTTTCACCATGTTGACCAGGTTGGTCTCGATCTCTTGACCTCGTGATCCACCCGCCTCAGCCTCCCAAAGTGCTGGGATTACAGGCGTGATCCACAGCGCCCGGCCATGGCCAGGCTGGTCTTAAACTTCTGGCCTCAAATGATCCGCTGGCCTCAGCCTCCAAAAGTGCTGGGATTGCAGATGTGACCCACTGCGCCTGGCCTAGCAACATAATTTTGAAACTGTTATATTATTTCAAATCATAGGATTAAGTATTTCAGAGAAGCCTTCTTTATCCTTCATTTGGGAGCAGGAGCATTTAGGAATCTGGGATCTGATTGATGTCAGTTCTTTCTGTATACCTGTATATTACTCTATTACACTATGGTATACTGTACAATTTTTACCACTACCAATACCCTTTTCATTACTAGCATAGTTTTCATGGTAATTCAGAAGTGATTTTGCATACCATGTTCCTTGAGTTGGATCTTAAGGAAGAGGAAACTGGTTTCTAGCTATCAATGCTGTTGTGATGTCTTCTGACTTCCAGTAAAATAGCTAACAAAACATAGAATAAGATGAAAACAATTTACAACCCCCCCAAATTAGGAGTGACATTCATTGGTCTTTTGAAAAGATTTTCATTGTCTATAAGGCCTATATAAGTGGATTGAAATAAAGTTTTGGGGGGAAAAGGGATTAAGTCCCAATAAAATTAATGGGACTTTTGTTTTAAAATAACTCAGGAAAGAAGAGAAGTAGTAAGACCTAACATACTAGTTATAATTGTGAATGGTTTATATCCCCCCAACACTCCCACACACACAGAATTTTTTAAGAAATGGGATCTTGCTGTGTGTGCCTAGACTGGAACTTCTAGCCTAGGCACATATGGTGGTCCTCTCACCACAGCCTCTTGACTAGCTGTGACTACAGGCATGTGCCGTAGTACCTGGCTATAATTTTTAAGAGAGAAGAGAAAAAGACACAGTTGGGTTAAGGGGGAAAAAAGGTGAGAAATCTAATTATATGCAACTTGCAGGATACATTCTCACTGACTATTCAGGCAGTGGAAAAAAGATGAAAAATGTGTAGTGAATTTTAAAATCTTATGGGTCATTTCTAACTAGGAGATTTTTTTTTTACTCTAAGCTTCTGTCATTTTCTCGTGGGGTGTCTAGTAAGTAAAAATCGGTAGATATGTTCTAAAATGTGAACAATATTCATTATGTGTGAGTGTTGAGATTAAGGGGTTTCTTTCCTTCCAATTTGGTTTTCTTAGTTCTGATTTCCCAACTCTTATGCAAAAAAAATGGATTACTTCCACAATAAGGGAAACAGGTTCACGTGTAAAGCACATAAAATAGAAACATCTGAATTAAAATGCTTCAGAAAAGGAAAACATCAAATAAGACAGAAAATGCCAGGAAATTTCAAACACAAAGCAATATCAGTACTGGATAAAGTGAAAATTGAAGGGAAAAACAGTCCTTTCAAACCCTACTACTGCTTTATCAACTGAGTTGATTATGTAATATTCTAAATCCTTTGTTGTCATTTCCACAGTGTTCAGAATATGAATAGAAACAAAGATCATCAAGATTCAGGAGGATGGCAAAACCCAGTCCAAGGAAAATAAGAATCACAGTAAAGTGACACAGGAGCTAAAAGACAAAGTGGCCATTATAAAAAGGAACCTAATGGGTCTGGCAGAGCTGAATAAAACAAGAATTTCACAGTGCAATCTCACATATTAACAGCAGAATAAGCTGAGCTGAGGAAAGAATCTCAGAACTTGAAGACTCAGTCTCTAAAATAAGACAGGCTAGGCTTTGTGGCTCACACCACTTTAGGAGGCCAAGGCTGGGGATCACCTAAGGTCAGAAGTTTGAGACAGGCCTGGCCAACATGGTGAAACCCCATCTCTACTAAAAATACAAAAATTAGCCAGATGTGGTGGCAGGCACCTATAATCCCAGCTACTCAGGAGGTTGAGGTAGGAAAATCACTTGAACCTGGAAAGTGGAGGTTGCAGTGAGCTGAGATTACATCACTGCACTCCAGCATGGGCAACAAGAGTGAAACTTCGTCTCAAAAAAATTAAAACAAGACAGTCAAAAATAAAGCAAAAAGAATAAAAAGGAATGAACAAAACCTCCAAGAAGTATGGGATTATGTAAAGAGGACAAATCTATGAATCATTGACATCCCTTAAAGGGAAGAACAAAGTAAGTAACTTGAAAGATACATTTCAGGATTGATATGGTTTGGTTCTGTGTCCCCACCCAGATCTCATCTTATAGCTCCCATAATTCCCATGTATTATGGGAGGGACCTTGTGGGAGATGATTGAATTATAGGGGTGGGTCTTTCCGTGCTCTTCTCATGATAGTGAATCAGTCTACAAGATTCGATGGTTTTAAAAATGGGAGTTTCCCTGCACAAGCTCGCTATCTCTTTGCCTGCTGCCATCTGTGTAAGATATGACTTGCTCCTCCTTGCCTTCTTCCTTCTGCCATAAATGTGAGACCTCCCCAGCCATGTGGAAATATAAGTTCAGTAAACCTTCTTTTTCAGTTGCCCAGTCTGGGTATGTCTTTATCAGCAGTGTGAGAACAGACTAATTCAAGGATACCATCCATGAAAACTTCCCCAACCATGTTAGAGAGGCCAGCAGTCAAATTCAGAAAATACAGAGAACTCCTGCAAAATTCCCCACAAGACGATCATCCCCAAGACACAAAATTATCATACTTTCTAAGGTCGAAATGAAAGAACATTAAAGACAGCTAGAGAGA